GGTCCTTTTCCCAGTTGCTAGCACATCCTCCCCGTTCAAAGGTCCAGTCTGGTTCAGTCTTCTAGGACGGCTGACAATCTCCCAACACACACTTATTTTTTACGATAAAATGCAAAAGTAAATGCAAATTCCTGTTGTGGTTGGTAATGTTTAAAAATATTTCCTTCTATGTATCTCCAAACACACCCAAACAAGAAAGTTGAGCCATGGAAGATACGATTCTATTCGTTTATGAATAGAATCGTTTCTTGTTTTTTCACAATACGACAAGGAAAATTCAAAAAGTTGTCGTTTTTCCTTTCAGAATTAAAAATATTTTGCCTGTTTCGCCTGGTCTTCTTGTAGTTGAAAAAATCCCTTCTATTTAAAAGGAAACAAAATAGTCTGCAGAAAGTTAGCACCTCTGAAAATGGCCTTCACTAAGGAGGAGAAAAGGCATGATTTTGCACGAAAAATAGAGGTTTAAAAATGCAAACTGCGTGGCTAACATTCGGAATCCTTATTTTTGACTTATTTGGCAAATTATCGTGGAATTTGAGGTGCCACAAATGGATAGAGGAATGCGGTAAAACCATCATGTACCTATTTGTCTTAGAAAGGCAGGCCGAGAAAAAAAGTAGTCCAAGCTCTGGGTACTTTGTTCCCACTTAACTGCTCCAATTCCTGCGTAATCGAGCTGAATGCCAAGAAACCAAAGAAGTGTGTGGAGGGGGTAGAGGAAATCGGGAATGTGGTAGCAACCTCCACCTTCACACAAAAAAGTCCAACGGCATAAAACGTTGCATGAGATTAGTATTCCATCGTTTCATGGAATTTTTTTTGCTCGTTTGATTGTGTAGATGTTTTCTTTGTTATGTCCTTTCGAAGATTCTAGTTGATGGTTCCAGAGAGCATTCCTAAGGCAGTATGAGACTATATGACATAAAAGGCGAACTCTTCAATCAATCAAGAAAATAAAATTTTCCTTTAAGTGCATTTTAAAATCAAATTGATGTCTACTAGTTATTGGAGTTTCTAACTGATGAAATTGTGTAAATCGTCTTTACTCAAGCATTTATAGTCGCCTTAACTTTAAAACTGATATCCGCCTCAGTTAGAAACCTTCCACGCTCCATTTTTGGAAGACGATGGCTAATCAGATTCACGGATGTGACAGCACAGTCACCACAGTAGTAACAACTATACAAACAAGAGGTTAATTAATAATGATAAAGACTTCTGAGCAACTTACCGAAGCGCTTGATGCAAACGGCGGTCTGTGGGGATTGGGTGTCTTTGGTACATTCTCTTCTGCAAAGTACAATCCTGGAGGAGGCAGATTCTAATAGACAACAATGGTACTTATAAAAATGAGTAGCAAATGTAAGACATTTGCAAATCTTTTAAAATTAGGTGATTAGGTTTGCAATTAGCCGTTGATTTTTGTCAGAGACGACACTGTATCTTTATAAGTGGGTAAAAATGTTAGATATAATTATTTAACTTTAAAGCAACACTCACTTCTTGTTTTGCATCTAAAACGTGCTTTTCAATATAGCGTGGGATTTTGAGAACGTGTTTTGAATTTATTAAATTTCTTTGAAGACCACGAATTATTAACTGGACCCATTCATCGTTCAGTGAGGTAAAGTATGTGCCTGGTCCCGGATAGTCATTTGGTGGAGAGAAGGTTCTCCTATAATCCGTCTAAAGCGAAAAAGAGATCATATGGTGCAAGGGCGGCAACGCATTCCTATATTTTAACGGCTAGATTATTTATAAATACCCTAGAACCCCACTTGCAACCTCGATAGCGTTGGCAAGCTTCGTGTTTTGATCCAACACTTTCATCGGTGCAAAACTGAGCTTGCACACGTCGAGGTTCGAGTTGTCCATTCTGTCCCATCTCGTAACCATGTGCATCTAATGTTGCTATTATGGAAGGAAACGTGCGGTCCACATAGCGAATAGGAATCTGAAGGAATCAAAGTGGTTTCCATACTAAGATTTATTTACCTTAGGCTTCTTCACGTAAATTAAATAGGGCATTAAAAGATCGCACGGATCATATTCAGAGCCAGACAAATTGGATTTAATGTCATGTGCACCGGGCCCTGGTACTGCAGACTTAAGAATATTGAACCGAAGTTCGGTGTTTTTCAATGAAGAACCTCCCTAAAAATTTCGTAAAATTTAACCCCAAGAGTTGTGTAAAGGTGTGTGCAGAAATGGTCATTTTTGAAACAAATGCAAAAATAAAACACCTTAATTGTCCGTATTAAGATGAACAGGTTCTACATAAAAACTTAGAGATAAAATTTAGCCGTTCTAGAAGAGAATTGTTTGAACAAGCAGTAAGTGTATACAAAAACACAAAATGGCAGTTTGATCACTTTAATATGTCGACACGGCAATTCGGGTCTGTAGGCTGATGGCGGGGGGACTTCGTCTGGTTTTGAGCTAAAGATTGTATTCCTTTGTCCTAGAGAACCGAAAGGAGCATATCCTCCACTTGTACATTTTTCGAATGCAAGATTAACATTGTAACTTGTGGGTCCCAGATGAGGACCAAAATCTTCCCTCATCGTTAGATTAATATTTCTTTTAGCTCGATCGTACATTGCACGTGTTGTGGATTGTACTTAACCAGATTATTCAATTTCCCACTCTTAGCCGTTATGATATTCCGCGACCTTCATAGTAGAAAATGAATTAGGAAAACCAACCACCCACTGTTTAAAGGTTACTTGCATTTTCTGTCGTCTACCGATCAGTCTGAAGCTGCATACAAGCTACAATAGTCATATATTTAATATTCACCGAAAAAGTGCATTATTTTAACAGCTATTACTGGGTTATATACCCTAATTTGGGCAGAAAATGTCTTTTAATCTGCAATAAACATAGTTTACTCAAAAATATCCATTAACGTATATTTTTACAGAGACTTTTTAGAGTTCTTTTGTACATTATGCTTGCATAATTATTTAAGGGCACATTGAGAAGTAGTGACTGTACATTTAAAAGCTTTACTTTTAGCAACATTGCGTGAGATTTCAAATTAATTTCCATTTATATGCTTTGGTTTAGTTTTAACACTCAGTTCCCAACCTTTAACTTTTTTTGCCTATGAAATCTGCGAGCCGACCACTTTGTGCATTTGGAGTTAAGATCTGTTTCCAATAAAGCCAGACTCTATAGGTAGCAGTAGGGAACTATTTTCAAGGTTCTCTGCGTAATGCTCCATCTGAATTCAAAAATATATTGCAGCAATAATATTTAACCTTTCGCAATTGTTAATCACATCACAAAGCGTTCTTGAATGTTAAGCGATAAAGCCACATGCTTAATCCGTTGGTATTGTTGCATGCTATCATGCTACACTAACGGAAGCTGTGTTCGTTTGTTACATTTCAAAAAATGTCAATTGGCATATTGCTTACAAGTTAGCTCTTTGAAGTTGAGCCAGATTGGTCACAACTCCAAACCATTCATTATTGCCGTCTTCATTATCAATACTTATTTTGTAAATGTACCCTCCCCTTGCTAGGCAACGAAGTAATTTTTATATTATTATTTTGCTGGTTGTTTAAGACGTCTTTCCATTTTTGACAACTATTTGACAAGTATAATATTCTGACATCTTTTCTGTTCTATTTTTATTACTTATTCTTGTACTTGTCGCCTTTTCTCGACCCACTGTGCCTCGGCATCCATCATCGCGTTGACTAATGTGACGCATTCCCCTTGGATATCGATCGCACGACTTATCGATCTCAGCAGTGAGATGGCTCATTCAAACGTGTTTGGGGTAGCAACGTCTACAATTCCGTAACCCACTCTCACATCCGGTGGCACTTTTCTCAGCGTTCGTACAATCTCAAAATGCGTGAAATTGTTCATATTCAAGCTGGTCAGTGTGGAAATCAAATTGGTGCAAAAGTAAGTTGATCAAAATAATTCCTTTTTCTTCCAAAAGATCCGTTTTAAGTCTTTTTATTTTCTATCTTAGTTTTGGGAGGTCATATCGGATGAGCACGGAATAGATCCTACAGGAACTTACCATGGGGATTCGGACCTCCAATTAGAACGCATTAATGTCTACTATAATGAAGCCACTGGTGGTAAATATGTACCCCGGGCTATACTCGTCGATTTGGAACCGGGTACTATGGATAGCGTACGGGCTGGTCCCTTTGGTCAAATATTCCGCCCAGACAACTTCGTGTTTGGACAAAGTGGAGCGGGTAATAATTGGGCGAAGGGACATTATACTGAAGGTGCCGAGTTGGTTGACTCCGTGCTAGACATTGTTCGCAAGGAAGCAGAGTCTTGTGATTGTCTACAGGGATTCCAAATGACTCACTCTCTTGGAGGTGGCACGGGCTCTGGAATGGGAACCCTCCTTATCTCCAAAATTCGTGAGGAATATCCTGACAGAATCATGAGTACCTTTTCGATCGTTCCATCACCAAAGGTATATTAAAAGCTTATTAGGTGTTGGTTATCTACAACTGTTTTTTAACATCCTTTTACATTTAGGTCTCGGATACTGTTGTCGAACCCTACAATGCGACACTTTCAGTTCACCAATTAGTAGAAAATACGGATGAGACCTACTGCATCGACAATGAAGCCTTATATGACATCTGCTTCCGTACTTTGAAATTGACTACACCAACTTACGGTGACTTAAATCATCTTGTCAGTGCAACGATGTCTGGTGTAACGACGTGCCTGAGATTCCCCGGTCAATTGAATGCTGACTTAAGAAAACTAGCTGTCAACATGGTGCCATTCCCTCGACTGCACTTTTTCATTCCTGGCTTCGCTCCACTTACCAGTCGTGGCAGTCAGCAGTACAGAGCTCTTACGGTACCGGAGCTGACTCAACAGATGTTCGACGCGAAGAATATGATGGCAGCTTGTGACCCTCGTCATGGTCGCTATCTCACTGTTGCAGCCATGTTTCGTGGTCGTATGTCCATGAAGGAAGTCGACGAACAAATGCTCAATGTCCAAAACAAGAATTCCAGCTACTTTGTGGAGTGGATTCCAAACAACGTGAAGACTGCTGTCTGTGATATTCCACCCCGTGGTCTCAAGATGTCGGTAACCTTCTTGGGCAACAGCACAGCCATCCAGGAGCTTTTCAAACGAGTAAGCGAACAATTCACCGCCATGTTCCGAAGAAAAGCATTCCTTCATTGGTATACTGGCGAAGGCATGGATGAGATGGAGTTCACCGAGGCTGAGTCCAACATGAACGACTTAGTGAGCGAGTACCAACAATACCAGGACGCCACAGCTGAGGAAGAGGGAGAATTTGAGGAGGAAGAGGAAGGAGAGGCTGCGTAAACGTCTGTGGAGCCGAGTATACCGCCTTCATCGTTGCCCCTTCCTTTTAAGTCCGGACCGAATCGTAGGATTCCGAGGCAGCTCCGGCACTGTAAGCGCCCGCATCTCTCCCCTCTAAAACTTCTACACCTTTCCACTTCTCCCTTCTCTTCAGCCTCGTTATGGACTCTGACAGCTCTATCTCGTTTGTGCTTACCATCTCTTGCCCTCTTTCGCTCCTCTCTTCCCTTTCCAAGTTCCCTCGCCTACTTTTACGCTCCTCCACTCCGTTGTGCCCCTCTCTCCCTCTTTCCTCCCCTGTTCTTCCTCCCGTTGTCTGTAGAAACTTTTGAATAGAACCCTAAAGCTCCTGGAAACCTTATTGCTTATTGTCAACGCATACTTGCCTTAATTAATCGACCTAGAGACGATTGACGCTCCTCTGGTTAGAAGTTTTGTAATATGTCTATGAATATGGAATTTTACTTATTCTATATAAAGAGTGAAGTTCTCATTTCGAATGCATAAAAAATCGAGAATTTCGTAACGATTTTGAGAAAACAGTGGGGTTGAGCGAGCGTGTGGCGCTCCCCTTCCCTATCACGTGATGCATACACTTGACGTGCGGTGCTGACTAAGCACCAACCCGGAGCCTTCTGATTGGCTGCCGGCTATGCACACGTGGCATGCGAGCTCGGTGCAAAGACGAAGGCTAAGAGGGTGAAAGAGTTCATGGCAAGTGTCCTCGATTCCACCCAGCCTAACTCGCCTACTCTGCCATTTTGTGCATTAATTTTTTTCCAGTTCTCTTGCCTAAATAAATCTCATTATCCCTACTCTGCCTGAAATTCCAGATACTTACGCAGCATCTTGTTTACTATTGCTAATAGGGGTTATTAAGTGGATGCGCAGCTTACTTCAAATATTTCAAATGCTTTTTTGTTTTGTAGTTAATTAGTTGTTGGAGTTAGACATATGTTCCATTGGTAAACAAAAGATTACTTAATTCAAGACCGGTGACCTTTGAACCTAAATTGTTTACATTATGTCTGTCATAGCAACAGGCTCTCGAATAGTCTTTTTACACATCCAGGATATCACCTGCACTGTGCCCTGGGTGCCATGGCCATACATTTCCGGCCTCTGCTTCGACACCCCGGGCCTATATTAGCTGTGTAGCCGCACTCTAGATAAACAATCGGACCTAGGGTTGGAATCTAGGTTGACATGACGGCCTTGGTGAAACACCATCGACACCTGAACAGCCTGACACTTTTATAGTCATTTTCATTCCCATATTTCGAGACTCTGCTTTTAATTTTGTCCCATTCTATCGGAAGGAATTTTTATTATTTTTTTCTCTTTTAGCAGGCCTTGTCACTGCGTTTGTCGAACAATGAAACACGAGCATTTCCAACTCTAACACGCATCCGTACATAGGACGCGGCAACTAGGAGTAGTCACATGATGGCACTGGTCATAGAGACGACACATTAACATGTTTATGCACGCAGCACGTTAACTAGGCAGAAATTTAAGACATTCTATTGGTAGGATTGGGTGAAGGAGCATAAACAAAATGCTACTAGGTCATTAGGGCACAGGGTAGTCAAGACGCCTGGATCGACTCTCATCCCAGTACCTTAAACGTTGGAATGGCTACCATACTGATGCTGACAGAAGTGTCAAGTTTGGTCTTGAACTCTCGATGATGACAGAACACCAGCACTAGTGAGGGGAGGAAGAGGTATTGACAGAACCGGAAGTGCACACTCCATCACTTAATTTATGCACTCGATCTTGGCCTCATCAGTTCGCTCTTCCTCCTCCCCCCCGCCCCTTAACTTATGACAGTGAAGAGCATGACCTCAAGCCCCGAGGTCACAGTAGCACTCCATTTATCGATCACCTGTGTTCCAGGCACAGGCCACGTGTTGATACACTGCTTATTAACAAGTGATTAAATGACATTGAAGGATGATTTTTAGCCCAATTTACATCAACTTGATTATCCAATCATTTAACTGACAATGAAGGATGTATCCACAAATGTACCATTGTTGGCACGTGTAGACACTTATTTAGGTCATATACACTCACAAGTAGAGAGGGGTGATTATCAATGTCCGATCTTTTTATTTACCTAATGAGCATTTATATTACGATGCAAAAAAATGCGGCACTACTCTTGGTACATACTGACAGAGTCAAAGGTCGCCTTTTGTGCACACTTCTGCTATTTGGACGAGATTCAGCCTATCGAGGTGCATGTTTGTGGGGGTTTCACGGTTTAGGGAGACTTGCAAATACCTCGACCAAGTTTCACCTCTCATCAGTTATTCCTTACTGCCACAAGCTTCACAGAATAATATTTATCCTAATTAGGGGGAGAGGAGAATGGGACGTTCCCATTATTCCCCTAAGGATTAGCATCCACTCGACACCTCATTAGCATGGAGCACAATTCCCCTTGCCTCCTAGATTGGAACCACTGGTTTGTTTTCAAGTCTCACATGATTGGAATGGTCTAGATTACCTTCTTCGCTTCATGTATTTACTTAATACCCTTATTTAGCAAAAAAAAAACAATCTTGCTTTGGTTTGTAATTAATGTCTATCTAATCTCGCAAAAAAAAGAGAATTAACGACTGGTCAATCAGCTCTATCGATATTATCTGATAAACAGTACTTATTGATTTCCAATTAATAATAACTAAATTTAGATGTAAAGTCACAGGTAAATTATTGCTGTAGACTAATTAAATTTGCAATCAAAAAGGCGAAAACTTAATAATTTATCAGCTTGTTAAGCTACTAATGAAGGTGCCTTTTCGAATTTATTACAGTCAATAATTAAAGGTGGAAACAGCATCCAGCTTTCGTTTAACGAGCTGTTGACAGATGGCGCCTAGGGCAAGAAGCGTAGTCATGGCGCCCACATCGGTTTTTAGTGCCTTAACCAAGTCATAAACCTCCATCAGGGATTTGATTATAACGCTGAGACGGTCTCAAATCCAAATTGAGAACCTAGTTACCACACCTGTGAACTGTGAACTGTCAACACCTTATCGTCCTTCCATCAGTCACAGTAACTACCGCTAACGCTGATATGGTGGAAAAATTCGGGAGTCATCTCTCGTCGAGTCAGCCGAAACAACAGCGTACGCCTTTTAAATATCAGTAGTAAACTGTTTTTCAAATTTACTACCATCCTCGAGATAGCAAACCAATTATTTGGAGATTTAAAAGCAGAACAATTGAAGTACTCAGGAAGAACGAGAGAAAGGCAAGTGCAAAAGTTTACTGTATCCTCAAGATGACCTCATTTGTACTATCTTAGGATCACAAAACGATACTTATTAAGGCTTCCGATGATGATGCCCATCTGCAGGACTAGTTCACACGACGGCTTCAGGTAGGTAGCTGGGGAAGTCAATAAAGGTGGCAAGGAACGCAACCGAGTGGTGAATAAAAAATGCACTTGAAGTCGTCCATTTGATCGATGAGGATAGAAAAGAACCTAAAGAAGCCTAAATTGGATAAGTGAGGATTCAAAGTAGGAAACGATTCAGATGGGGCACTAGAGTGATGCTGAATGGGATAATGAGGTCCAGAATTGGAATCGGAAAACGGATTAGGGTGTAGAACTCCAACCACAGTATAAATGCTCGTCCATTCCAGTGCGAGAAGTATTGAATAGATGACGGCATACAAGCTTCACATCACACCATTTGAAGCCCCTAAATTGTTTAAATAAACGTTCAGCTGGCTAAACAGTGACGATGAGCGAGATCAACAAGATGATAGGGCGAACAACCCCCATGGTCTCCACTGTCCCCCATGAAATTTCGAAACTCGTTTCGTTCAACCCTAGCGATCCTATGATCACTGCAGACGTAAATTAGTTTGAATGTATAACCTTAAAATCTACTGCGATTTTAAAGCATAATGCGTGTTTATGTCAGATGTGAAATGAGGCGGCAGGCAACCAGTGGGTATCATGAAAACCAGTTCAGTCGAACTCCTGTGCAACCACCTTTAAAAAATACAAAAAAATGATTCACAGAGCTAGAGTTCTCAACAGCTATGCCAAGACCATTCGACCAATTCACAACAGCACATCGACCCTTGAAACTAAGCCCAATGCCGATGTATGGGATGCCTTCTCATTCCCAATGGGCATTAAGCCAAAGTCAGGAGGACACTAAAGTTCCTTGGTCTAGGGGCAAGGCATTCACCCCTAAAGATCACCAGACATCGAAAGTCCTAGAAAGAATTTTTGATCCTAATCTTAAAATATCCAATGGTGCAAACAAGTCCAAACTTTGCAGTCGCCAAGACATTAAAAATGCATTCATACATGCAAAGGGTGATGTGGCACAGCCTCCGATTGGTAGACCCCTAGTCCCCTGGCTGTTGTCTGCTTGAGAGGAAGTGCTGCACTTGTAACCAGTGTCCATCAACGCGGATGTCTGCAAAGAGGCAGCTGGGGAGAGCGAAAGTCCCTAGTGTCCCTACGCTCTCATTGGCTCATTATGGCCATATGCGTTGCCAGGCTCCGGGTCCCACCAGCACCAGTCGCAGTTGCTGACATACTTTTCTGGCTAACGATATGCAAATTGAATGACTTCTGACCTCACTCATCGATCCCTTTGTGTTGAGGAGAAAGTAAAATGTAGACACAATCCATGTGTGCTTTATTGTATTGAAAAAAATCTTGGCAATAAAAATCTGGACTTGTGACGGTGCAGACAGAGGAGGAAGGAAAATCCAACACATGGTGTGTAAAATGTGACGTCGCTGTTTAACTTGTCAGAATCGAGGTCTGCATGCGCTACAAAAAAAGATCCACGAAGTGATCACAATTTGGGTAGCAGCATTGGCATGGCAACAAACACAGGGGCGAATGTGACTCCGCAATTAGCAGTTGAACAGGAATTACTGTGCCCGCATGTTCAGGTGAATGCACACCCAAACACCGTCACCGGAACTAATTCCAACTGATTGATTTTTTATGACCATGGGGGCAAAATAGGGAGGTAAAGGGTGCCTCACTCATCCATTCTATACTCACCAGTACTATTTTTTTAACGCCTTGGCCCGTTTGTGCACAGCGAAGTAATCTAAAATGCAAAACGAAAAACATCTCCAGTATTACACAAACATGAATTAGTTGTGGAGTGGCAAAATACAACTTACCCGTCATCCTAGGATGCGATTTCCGTTTTAGCAATTTTAAAATAGGCGAGGGCAACTTGAAGATGGGATCAGCAGTAGGGGAAATTGGATGAGTTGGTGGAATAGAAGAGGTTGAACATTCACAAGGGGCTGTGGCTAAGGATACAGGCGGAGGGTCAGCTTCAGAAGAAGGGATAAGATCACTCCTTATTTTCTTTTTCACTGGCGGTCCGGAGAAATCAAAAACCAAGTTTCCAATCAGGGAGGCGTCCGAAAGCAGCCCTCCATTAGGCGTTGATATCTCACCTTGAAGTCTCTCTAGCACCGTTTGGTTTAACCGTCTACGAGCCTTTAGCCGACGTGGTGCTTTTGTGTAGAAAGCAGCTTTTGGTTCATGTACAATTCTCCACGCAGTGGAAGAACCCTTGGCCACATCAAAATTCCACTTGGCACGAAAACGCTCCTGATCAGCACGAATAACCTGATCCAGTGCTTGTTGCACCATAACTCGTGGTGCAGCATCTTGAAACAATTGGCGACAAAATTTGGCAGTTGAATTGGCTGTAGGCACGGCCATATTATTCAATCTCCAGCTTCTCCTCGTCACAAGCGTAGTAATATAGAGAACAAGTGCGCTGTTATGCGCGTATCGACTTGGATGCGCAAGTGCGTAGAAGACCAACAGCGCGTGTGGCAAAAGTATGCGTATTGGGCATACGCTTCTGCTTATATTAATGCAGAGGCATGCAAGGCAGATGCTTAACCAATGGCATCGAAGCAAGCCTTCTATTGGTTCGCTAGTATCAAATGCCAGCCACGCGCCGGTCCTACTAGCTGACTGACTCATTCACCTGTCAAGTGGTAACAAAGCGCACAACTTGGATGGCGCACTTTGATAAATCAGTTCCACTGTATAAGTGC